AAATATTATGTAATTAGCCCTCATGCTTATCACATAATTTAATCTCAGGCAAGGCTCCAAATTTTTTTTTTTAAGATTTATTTATTTGTGCATACAGAACTGGGGTACAGGCCAGAGGCACAGGGGCAGCGAGAGACTTCACCAGAGACAGAGTGAGGAACAGAACAGGCAGATCGACGAAGTACAGTGTTAAGGGGAGCAGTGGGCGGGTCAGGAGAGGTCTGCCACGCCATGTGGTCACCTCCAGGGCAGGCGGGAATCGAACTCATGCAGAAGTGGCTTTAGCTTCTCAGTGCAGTGCTTTAACCCGCTGCGCCACCAGGGAGGGCCAAGGCTCCAAAATTTTAAGGAATTTTCTGACACTACAGTGCTGGTGGATAAATGGTGCATTCAGGACTAGGCCTGATCTAATCTTAATTCATGCTTTTTTACATGCCCATTTATAAAATATCATAGAACTGCCCCTCCCTGGTGGCGCCATGGGTTAGGACGCAGCCCTGAAAGCTAGCTGCAGCTATTTCAGTGCAAATTCAATTCCCGGCCCCAGAGGTGATCCACATGGCTGGCAGACCTCTCCTGACCTACCTGCTATTCCCCTCAGCAGTGTACTTTGTCAGTACACTGTGTACTTTGTCAGTACACTGTGTACTTTGTCAGTGTACTTTATCTTCCTATTCTGCACCCCACTCTGTCTCTGGTGAATCATCTCACCACCCCTGCACCTATGGCCTGTACCCCAGTTCTGTATGCATAAATAAATCTTTAAAAAATATTATAGGATGTAGATCAAAAAGCAAACACTATGTAATATTTTGAGAGTGCTGGAAGCATTAGATGTAATCATAAAGATAAAAGCTCTTTATTAATTCTGAGATCAACATTGAGGACAGTAATGGCCCTGGCTGAACCAAGGGAAATTAATAATTTTAAACGCATTCAAGTAATTTAAATATGTAAATGTTAGTAGAACAGTGAAAAGTCTCCCGTATTAGAGCAATTAGACACTAGCTTTAGATACTCTATCAGATGTTGTGGTTATGGAAATGTGTAAGGCCTTGACTCTGCCATAGTAGGGTGCAATTTCAAGCAACCCATGACTTAATCTCCAGAATAACATAATAATCATCAAAATGCATGATCTAGTGTATGTGTATATATATATCCCAGAGGAGCAAGGGTCTCTGAAGCTAGCTGGATAAAGACTCCTTAGAGTAGCTAAAACTCCCCTCCTATTCAAGTTTAAGGTGGTGAGCAGGCTCCCTGATTGATACCCCTCTCCCGTAACAGCATTGCATCATAAAGCTAGGATGAAGATTGGGAATCAACTAATCCTACTGCTTTCACCAAAGTGGAAATAGATTCAGTGAGGGCAGTTTTCCCAGAACCTAGTTTTCTTAGATGATAAAATCAGGACTCAGTTATAAAGGTATCTGACTTTCAGATCTTTGTACATTAACACCTCTTTCCTTGGGAGACCACTGAAAGAGTAAGCTCTATCATGTTTACATCACCATTTATATCCAGGCAACTGAGTTGTGTCTTCTGCCTCAAAAGCTTTTTAGAACAAGGTGGGGTGAAAATAAATTAGTGACTGAGTATAAATAGACATGAGTAGTCATGGACAAAATGACATTCTTTAAATCTAAGGAAATCTTACATAATGAATCACACTTCAAGCAATCCATATTATAACATGACCTTGGAGGCTTTGAGTGATACTCAGTTTTCTCTACAGTGGTTTTTGCTGGATAGTCAGTCTTCAGATTGGGTGGCATCTCTAGTTTTCCTCAACTCAGAAAAAAAAAATGGGAATTTTATCTTTTTCAATTATCTGCTACATAAGAACAAGCAAAACCATCTTTAGATTTTAGAAAAAATATACAAGTATTCTGTAAATCTTTGCACTGTTAATCTCAGAGTGGAATAATCACAGCCTGTTCGGACATATACGTCCTAACAGTTTTGTTCAATGTTATTTCATTATAATTTTGATGAGGAAAAGAAATTCAGTCAACATTGAGTTGGCATTATTTAAGGACCCGCTTTCATTGTGTTTCATTTTGCTTATGGTCTCAGTTTCCAAAATGTTATCAATGATGTTAAGTGAGGACTTCTGGTATAAAAGTATGATCTTTGCAGTCACAGATTTCTAGAAAGTCATTTTATACCACTCTCTAGTTTTATGATTTATAATAAGACTTTTAGCCCCAATTTCTAATTTTTCAATGGGCATAATAATATCTCATGAATTTATTGTAAACTTTAAAATTTACAATTTCTGTCTTTATGAGTAAGAAACACAATATTAGTTCTCTGGTGTTTAAGGACAAGAGGCTTTGCCTAAGCTACCTCTAGTAATGGGGAGATATTGTGAAGATAACGTGGTAATAAGAAAAAAGGAGCTCATAGGTAACTGGGGTGCAGGCCAGAGGTGTGGGGGTGAGGGGACTCACCAGAGACAGAGTGGGGAGCAGAACAGGCAGATACACTGCTGAGGGGAGCAGAAGGTTAGACAGGAGAGGTCTGCTGTGCCATGTGGGTCAGCTCCCTGTCCAGGGATCAAACTCAGGCCTTTGTGGTCATAACCCTGAATTAACCCCGAGGCCACCAGGGAGGCCCTAGCCTACATTTTCTGAGATGAGCAGAAGAAAAAAAAAAAAAAAAAACTTCACAGCCAAAACTGCTTAGATGCTACTCTCCTCTGCAGAGGAAATGGAAGGGTAAAGGGTCATCAGGCAAAAGTATGTACTTTGCTTTAAGGTGCCATTCCATTTTGCCCTTCTGGAGAGGAGAGTAACATCTAAGCAGTTTTGGCTGTGAAGTTTTTTTTTTTTTTCCTTCTGCTCATCTCAGAAAATGTAGGCTAGGGCCTCCCTGGTGGCCTAGGTGTTAATTCAGGGCTATGACCATAAAGGCCTGAGTTCGATCCTTGGGCAGGGAGCTGACCCACATGGCACAGCAGACCTCTCCTGTCTCACCTTCTGCTCCCCTCAGCAGTGTATCTGTCTGTTCTGTTCCCCTCTCTGTCTCTGGTGAATCCTCTCACCCTCATACCTGTCACCCCCATACCTCTGGCCTGCACCCAGTTCTACTCAAAAATAAATAAAATCTAAAACATGTGGGCTAATTGGGCAAGGAGTCAAGGATGAAAATCCATAGAATAAGAGCCCCTCTCTCTGCTTGTTCTCTTTCCAGAAGTTAATGTCTGCATTTCCTCCATAGGAGGCTGCCATTTTCCATTGCATCATGACTCTAAGATGAGAGATTACTCTTACTCCCAAGAATTGTTTTCCAGTTCAGCTTCTTAACAAACCAGTTTGTTAGAGCAACAAGACAACAGGGTGGAGTGATACTTTATTATTCTGAATGTCTACACACCCACAATGGAATCCGCACCCAGATGACAACAAATTGTATGTTTTAAAGACTAACTTTAATTAAAATTGCATATATTAATTCATGTAAGGCAAAAAGGAAAGATGTCAGCGCTTTCTTCACCTTCCCCACAACACCTACCAATGTTTTTAACTTTCAAGATGAAAGGAGGTTGCCTTGATCTGGCTATACCCCATAAATGTCTTCCAGTTGGTGGTTTGAGGCAAACAGGACAAATCTGAATGACTGGATTGGCTTAGCACCCTGCTGTTACTGCATTGTTTTCACTTATGTTCTTAATTATATCTTCAGGACGAAACTGATACGTAGATTATATTATTTATACTTATAAATGAGAAATGGGCTCAGATGTCAATGCAAATGTTTAACATCACACAGACAAGTTGACTCAGTTTTTTAAACTCTAAATTTTGTTCCCCCCTCCACCCCTTTTTTAACATCTATTCACTGATTGAATGGTAAAATGATTGAGGCAAAAGGCTCATCAATGAATGCAAAATATGTACTGAGTGCTGTTATGTTCCAGGTATCGTTGTCATTGAGAGCAAGATATGTTTTTTATTTTTTAAAAAATGTATTTTTAAAAAATTACTTATTATTCTTTATTTTTAGAGTAGTTTTAGGTACAAATATTTCCCATAGATCTTCCAGCCTCCCATGACCTTCCCCCAGTGTTAGCAGCCATTAACAGAGTGAATCATAGTTTACAATTGATAAACCTACACTGGCACATCATCATCACCCACAATCCATATTTACATTAGGGTTCTCTGCATAGATGCTACAGGTTTGGATAAATGTATAAAGATCTTTACCCGCCATTTTAGTGTCATGTAGAATAGTTTTATTGCTGAGTAATGAGTCCAAAAATTTGTCCCCTAGTTAGAACCTCTCTGTGGTTCCAGTTATGGCCACCTGCAGCCACAAATCAAACAAAAGGGCCTTTGGTGCAGGAAAAAGGGGGCGGGAATGACCAGTTTCTTCTGACCAACCAGGAGAGGGAGAGGAAAACTGGAAGGCTAGAGGGAAAAAGAGACGGTCCAGTTACCCATCGTCGGGACAAGGTGAAACTGCAGCCGAAGGCTCCAGCAAGGCGTGGCTTGGGCACCTCTGTAAGGAGTGGGGTGGGTCAGGGAAAGGCCCGAGGCCTGGCGGACTGGCTGGGCAACTGCCTTCTGCAACAGTGCCAGTGAAAAAGATGTGCCCATATGCATCACTCCCTCCGTATTAAAGGTTTCCAAAATGTCAGCTCATGTCTGCCCACCTCTCGGCAGCCCCCTCCCTTACTGAAGACATCAGGGGCGGAGTTTAGATGAAGGCCCTCCAAGGGATAACCTCGCACTACCTGGGCAGTGTCGGGGCATCTGTACAGCCCTGGTCTGGGCCAGGAAACTCCAGCAGTTTCACTGTCTTAAAATTCCTGCGTGTGAGGCAATATTTTTATTACATTGGCTGATACACTTGATTAGTGCACTCTAATTGGTTACCTTCTTTTCGTGTCCATTGTCCATTCATTTTCCAGTGTGCTTCACCTCGTAGTTTAGGAATTTAATCTGTGTTCACAGTCTGGATTTAATGAATTAAAACAGTCATCCTAACTCCGCATGGACTATAGTCACGAATTTGCTAAGGAAGAAGAGGCGCTGATACCAGTAAGTAAAGGCATTCCCACCCGAACTTCCATTCCCAGCTGGATAAGACAATTTCTCTATTTAAAGGAGGGGAAATGTTTGAAAATGGAAGAATGAGCTGTTTGATTTTCTGACCTGTTTAAAAAGGTGTTACTTTTTCATGGCTCAGATGACCTCTGGATCCATCTGGCCACGTGTGGCCATTGTTCATCGAAGGTGACCCAATTCCTTATAAAATCTCACCACCTGGAGCACAATAATCCGGGCAAAGGAAGGGACAGAAAGAAGGGAACAACTCCAATGCCTTGAGGTTGTTTATCTGTCCTCTTAAAATCAGACACTGGTTTTTGCAACTTCCCACAATGTTCAGTTCTTTAAAAGATCCAGAAGTGAATTCCTATAGTATAATTTCTTATTCAATATAGTGAACAGGCTGAAAAGAAGACACTACTAGTAACAACTGCATCTTTCATGATCCAGGTACCATCTAAAGGCTTCACATAAATTATATCATTTAAAAAATATTTAGGTAATTTCTATATTGTAAGAAAAAACAATAATTTTATTGTCATATAAAAGTCATTAAGAATGATGGTAAACAAACAAAACAAAACCCAGAAGATGAGGGGAATATAGGAATAAGATTATGAAGGGTTTTTTTAGGACAAGTTTTTTAAAAGGTTTATTTATATTTATTTATGTATACAAGAATTGGGGTGAAGGGGGTGAGAGAATTCCCCAGCAACAGAGTGGGGAGCAGAATAGGCAGATCTACTGAAATAGATTGATGAGGGGAGGTGTCAGGAGAGGTCTGCTGTGCCACTTGCTTTACCTCCCTGCTGCAGTGGCTAGCAAAAGTTTGATGGCACTGAGTCTTTAACCCCCGTGCCATCAGGGAGGCCCTCAGAACTATTTTCTAGAGAAGTTTTAAGTACACAGCAAAGTGGAGAGGAAGGTATATAGCACACCTGCTCCCCACACTTCCACAGCCTTCCCAATATCTCTATCACTACCAGGGTGACCACTAGCTAAGTTACAAGGTACCTTTGTTACAATTGTTGCTACATTTTGCAGCTAAAGTCTGTTTAATTTTTGAATGAATTGAATAAAGTCTTGACTAATATGAATTGTAGCATGAACATTAAATATTATCAGAACACTAAACGACATTTTTTAATCCCCATGTTGAATCCTTATACATTATTTGAACCATCTCATTTAATCTTCCTAACACTATTACAATTCTCACTTTAGTGGTAAAGAAATAGAGAGTGAGTGTAGGTAAATTGTCTATGTTCACACAATAACAAAACCAGTTTTGAATCCAGGTATCATTAACTTAGAAGTTGCTCAACACTTCCAAGTTGTCTCTCCTGGCTCTCAAGTACACCTCCCTTTAAGTGATTTGAACTATTACCGATAATAATTGCTTAGGTTATTCACAAACTCATCTCAGTCTGCTCAACAATTTTGTTGAGTGCATGATCCCCAAATCCTGTGCTGCATGAGGTCAAAATGCCAGTAAGTCATACATGTCTAAAAAAGAAAAAAATCATTGGTATTCTATGGTACAGATGGGAGAACTGGTCTCTGTCTGCACACTGCCTAGATCATGGAGCGATCCAGGTGTTAGCTGGAATAATTCTCACACAGTAATTAGAAAAAGAGTTACTGAATAATCAAAGAGGTTGCAAACTCCACAGAATTGGTTCTGCAAGAACTGTTCGAATAATCGTGAATTTGAATTTAGTTTAAATTATAATAGTTAAGTATAATGAATTGTTGGCATTTAAAATGTTACTGTTCTTGACAGGAGAGTATCTGGTTCTAAGATGTTTTGATCAAAAGATACATTGATGTTTTATCTATATGCCAAGGGAAGGGAAATTTAAGCTCTTCCTTTCTAAAGGATGAATTGTAGAGATGCAAAGTCTGGGAACACATTTTAAATTTCTTTATCCAACTCCTTGGGGGTTGAAAAAGCTGGCTTTCTTTATAGACAGTAGATTTTTCACAACTGCTTCACAAGCTTCAAGCCTATGCAGATGATTTTGCAGGAGAGAGTGGTAGTTCTCAGATTATTTTACAAAATGTTCACATGGGGAAATACTAAAACTTTCCGTTATGAAACGGAAGTTTTCAAAAATGAAAAATCAGCCCCCTTCTATCCTCCTCAAGATAAGTCATTACATTTGTAGTTAAATAATGTTCAGGGGAGGTGATATGAAGGCTGTATTTGCTTAGTTTGAAATCATTCCATTTATCTTAACCCTTTTATCTTCATTTGTAAACTAAATTAGAGCTGGATGACTTAAAATGTCTATTTAGACCTGAAAGTGTTTAATTTTTTATAAAAGATTTATTGATTTATGCATACAGAACTGGGGTACAGGCCGAGATATAGAGGGTGAGAGGATTCACCAGAGACAGAGTGGGGAGCAGAACAGGCAGATCGACGAAGTACACTGCTGAGGGGAGCAGCGGGCGGGCCAGGAGAGGTCTGCCACGCCATGTGGATCTCCTCCTGGGCAGGCGGGTATCGAACTCATGCGGAAGTGGCTTAAGCTTCCCAGTGCAGTGCTTTAACCCGCTGCGCCACCAGGGAGGGCCAAGTGTTTTAATTTTTTAAGTGTTTTTTCTTAAAAATATTTAGTGCAGGGCCCTCCCTGGTGGCGCAGCAGATTAAAGCATTGCACTGAGAAGCCAAAGCCACCCAGCATGAGTTCAATCCCTGCCCCCTGAGGTGATCCACATGGCATGGCAGACCTCTCCTGTCTCTCCCACTGCTCCCCTCAGCAGTGTACTTCATCAATCAGCCTGTTCTGCTCCCCACTCTGACTCTGGTGAACCCTCTCACCGTCCCTGCACCTCTGGCCTGTACCCCAGTTCTGTATGCATAAATAAATAAATAATTTTAAAAATATATTTAGTGCAAAAAACTTCAGATAGGAAAAACAGAAAGAGAATCAAAATATCTTAATTTTACAGTCACCTAGCAGATGTTACGATTTTTTTATTAAGTCTTGATTTTTATCTTCCTCACATAAACATACGTGTTTACTAAAAGACTATACTGAATATGAACACATTTTCTAAAGTCAAGTTTATTGAAATAAAATCTATAAAAGCAAAATTTTTTATTTGGTGGGTATAGTTACGTGAGTTTTGACAATAATCACATATATAACTATCAACACAATCAAGATCTAGAGTAGTTCCATCATCCTAAAATATTTCAGTGTGCAACTGTTAGCACTTGACTGACAGTTCCCCAGGGATAAGACCCCAATCTGAGGGGTGCACACTCTAAAAGGGGTCTGGCCATCCATGTGCACAAACGTCAAAGGAGACTCCTAGTGTGAAGTAATTTTAATTGAATTAGTGTTGCAGGGAGAGAGAGAATAAAATATTTCAAGCAATAGTTTCCTAGCAGTACTCAAAAAATTATCCAACCTCCAGTGGGCAGATACCTATGAAAGTGGCTTGCCCTGAGAAAGGACCACTGATAATCCCATTACTCTTAACTATTACTAGAGTTACATGGAAGTTCAATGGGAAGTGGACAGAGATCAGCATGTCCATCCCAGCGACACAGAATTTGGATTTTCTGTTTGACACCAGTTTGCTTTTGCCACCGTCTGGTGGTCAGCAATTCTAATATGATCTCTGTCATGAAGCCCTTTCCCCATGAAATGTCAAAGTTCAGCATGGAATAAACCTAAAGGGAATATAAAGGAAATGCTAGCTCACAGAGACGTATATTTTGTTATTGCATGGCTGAGACCCTGAAGCTTGTTACAAACCTAACGGAACTTCTAGCCAGCATCTATAATAAAAGAGTTAGGCAGATCTCGGAGAGCCGGGACAGGAGAGACTTAACACTTAAAATACACCGATGAACCAGTATGATGCCAATGTAACGTTGCCATTGCCTCTGCCAGGCAGGAGCAGCCTACCCAAGTGTCTCACCCTTTTCCTCCTTTTTTAGTCAGTCCGCCTCGTTCCTTCCCAGCTGTTTGGAAGTCTGGTTCTGGGGGGCTCGGAGTTGTAACCCAAGGTGGCTGCATATAAATGGGGCCAGGGGAAAATGGACACTGCTCAGTGCTCCCACCCTTTTCCCAGAGGTGTCTGTAACAGCTTTATAGCCAATGCCTTTCCGTCCCCAGTCCCTGGGCAATTGCTGTTCAGATTCCTGTGCCTATAAAGTTGTTTCAAGTGTCATATAAATGGAACCATACAATCTGTAACATTTTGTCTGCATTGTTTTACTTAAAATATTGCTTTTGATGTCCAGCTGTGTTGTAAAAGGCTTAGTGCTTCATTTCCTTTTATTTTGAGTAGGAGAAATCCATTGTGTGCATATATGAGTTAATCCATTCACCAGTCAATGCAAGTTTGGTTGGTTTCTGGAGTTTTTAGTGACTGAATAGCTACAGTAAATGTTCTTTAATAGGGTTTGTATGGACATAGGTTTTCATGTCTGTTGGTGGTTACATCCTAAGAATGGGAGAACCAGGTCATATGTAAGTGGATGTCTACATTTTTTTCCCATTTTTTCTTTTTTTTTTTTTTAAGATTAACTTATTTATGCATACAGAACTAGGTGCAGGGGCAGTGAGAGGATTCACCAGAGACAGAGTGGGGAGCAGAACAGATGGACTGACTGAAGTACATTGGACTGAGTGAAGTACATTGCTGAGGAGGGGAGCAGCAGGCAAGACAGGAGAGGTCTTCAGCACAAAGTGGATCACCTTTGGGGCAGGGGATCCAGCTGGCACTGAACGGGCTGCCGCTGCAAGCTTGCAGTGATGCACTTTAACCCGTTGCGCCACCAGGGAGGGCCAATGTCAACATTTATATAGAGAATATATGCTGTATATTTTTTTTAATTGGAATTAGTTATAGATTCCCAGAAACTTGCAGAGATCCTTTGTACTGGCTGGCAGTATTTAAATATTTCCCCAGTATTTAAGTTACATAATTATAGTCTAAAATCACAAATAGGAATTTGACATTTATTG